TCTCATCAGAGATACATCCAGAAGTATTTTTAAAAATATCTTTTTGCATGTCATGTTTATTTATTTTTGAGAGAGACAGAGCACAAGCAGGGGAGGTGCAGAGAGAGATGTGGAGACACAGGATTCGAAGCAGGCTCCAGGCTCCGAGCTGTCAGCACAGAGCCTGATGTGGGGCTGGAACTCAGACTGTGAGATCATGACCTGAGCCAAAGTCGACGCCTAACCGCCTGAGCTACCCAGGCACCCCCTAGATACATCCAGAAGTATTTCTGGGTGGAATGACAACCTCTGAGGTCACTACAGATGGAAAAGAAAAAGAGCAAACAAAAAAAGCAAAGCTGATCATCATGGAAGCTAGGTATGGATACATGGGTATTCTCTTTGTCCCTTTGTGTGTCTGTTTTTAATTGCAACACTGTTTAAACCAAATGCAGCTTAGAGGCTCCGGGGTGGCTCATCTGGTTAAGCGTCTGACTCTTGGTTTCGGTTCAGGTCATGATCTCAAGGTTCATGGGTTCGAGCCCCACGTCGGGCTCTGCGCTGACAATGCAGAGCCTGCTTGGGATTCTGTCTCTCTCCCTCTCTGCCCCTCCCTGCTTACAATCTGTCTCTCAAAATAAATAAATTTAAAAAAAAACGCACTTCAAAATAAAGGCTTTTTCTTGGTTATAAGAAAAACAAAAGCATGGTTCATGAAAAGACTTGTAACAAATGTTCACAGCAGATTTATCCATCATTGTCCAACACTGGAAGGAAGCGAATATCCATCAACAGAGCTATTGGGGCTTCCGGCAACACGGATACATCTCAAAAATGTCATGCTGAGCGAAAGAAGCCCTACACAAAAGGTTCTCACCGGAGGAGCCCATTCATGTGAAGCTCTAGAACAGGCAAATCTAATCTATGGTGGGAAAAAAAGGGGAGGAGTCGCTGCCTTTGGGAGAGGGAGGCAGGCATTGCATGGGAAGGAACACGAGCGAACGTCCTGGGGTAACTGTAATCTAGCTGAATGAGGGATCTGGACTGTACAGGGTTCTGCATTTGTCATGTTCACCGAATGGTACCCTTAAGGTTTGTATACGTCACTGTATGTAAAGTTCACCTTAAAAGGGGGAAAAAAGAGCGACAAACAAATACTGATCCCTAGTTAATGATACAGGACCCGCTAAAGTGCTCAGAGTGGGGAGTACATGAATGCCTGCAGCTTACATGCAAAAGATGGGGTGGACTGATGAGTGCATGGATGGCCACCATATGTTAATGGTAGGGTCTGGATGGTGAGCATAAAATTCTTTCAACTCTATGTGTGAAAATTTGTCCTAGTAAAACAATGACACAAATAAAAAAGCCAGCGGGGGGAGTGGGGGGCGGGAATTGGAGAAAGGTGGTCAAAAGGTCCAAACTTCCGGTTAAAAGATAAAGAAACACTAAAGATGTGATGCACCGCATGATGGCTGTAGTTGACACTGCTGTGTGACACACGGGGAAGTTGGGAAGAGAGAAACTCCTACGAGTTCTCATGGCACGGAGAAAACTGTTTTCCCTTCTTTTCTTCCTTTCCTTTCCGTTGTATCTATATGGGAGACTGATGTCAGCTGAGCATACTGTGGTGATCATTTCACGATATACGTAAGTCAAACCATCATGCTGTATGCCTTAAACTTGTACAGTGATGGGCGTTTGTCAGTAAAACTGGAAAAATAAATATAAATAAATAAAATTAAAAAGTGGACTGATGAACTGAGTTACGGCTTCTAGGCTAAGGGCATTGTGCATGAGTGTACGTACCCCTCCCCGCCCCCGCCACGATTAAGTATTAGGCAGCCCCTGAGACGAAGGGCATGCTCTTGACCTTGCAGGAACAGCTTCGATACGTAAAGAGTTAAAAGAGAAGGTTGAGAGTTGTTTTTAAAGCATACCCATGTCAGCTGCAGCCCTCGTGGACGGTCCTCTGTGAGCTCAGTACACTCTATGCTGACAGTGTCTCAGCCCAGACCCGCAGCTTGGGACTCTGTGCCTTCCTGCCGCACATGGGAACCTGCTCTCCCAGGGATCCAGGGGGTTCCCATGCCCCTCTGGAAAACCCTCAACCAATGGGGGTGGATCACCGCATTCTCCTCTTTCGGGCAGACAATTCTGGAGACCTTCTATGGCTGGCAGGATCCCGGCCCTACTGCCCAGAGCGAGAACCATGATACGTCCTTAAACAGACTTCTGCTTCTTTTCACCTGCCCCTCCTCCCTGCACTCTCGGCTCACTTCTCAGATCACCTGCACTCAAGCCTTTATCTCGTGTGTTACTTCTAGAGGAACCCACTCTGAGACAGTGGGTACCAGGGTTAGTCTAAACAGCAGATCCTCAGGATGTGAGCCTGTACTTAGATTTCTCTTATCTATCGAACGGCAACAAGAACCCTACAGCTGGTGCTAAGTGGGTGTGTAAATACAAATTCTGAGGTCCTCGCCTGTGCGGGCCTGGGAGGAGGTATGGGCCGAAGGACAGCCGGCATCTGCCGTAGCTCTTCCCTTGGAATGGGGCGGGGGGATGGTAAGTAGCAGTAATTACAAGGATTATTGAAGTCGGCTGATTTTTTATTAACAGATTTGGAAGCTTTGAAGAAAGACCGCTTGAGGGGCTCAAGTCAGCCATTCTGTGATGCCAAAAGCTTCCGCGGCAATATTTAAAGACTGACGTCTCCGGCCAGAGACGTAAGGCTCAGGACTTAACCACACGGGCACATGGGACAGGATCTCGAGGCGCAGAATGTGAGGCTGGATAGAGGGGAGTTTACTGACATGGTGCCCTCTCCCATGACCTCTGAGTTACCATCTTGATGGAAGGACCTTAACCCAGTTGCTATGCTTTTGGAAGCCAGCTCTCCAAACCTGGACAGGATACTGGCCTATAGGAAACGAGGCAGAGACGCCAGGATGGGCGTGGCATCCTGAGGAACGTGTGAGACGTCTCAGGGAGATGGGAATGCAAAAACGGTGACCAAACAGGCCACCATCTGACTGCATCCCCCAAGACAGGACAGAGAACACTGCCTTCAGGAAGGAATGCTCCACTGAGCAGG